GGCATGAAAAAAATTTAAAACAATAAAAATGAAAAACAGGTTTCCAAGCTTTAAACAGCAGTAGAGTACTCAAGGGCACTGTTCTGGGCATTATGCCAAAAACTTCAAGTACTCAAAACATAAGATAAGTCCAGACTTAACTAGTAATAACTTACAAGAAAATTTCTTAAGATTTATAACGCCAAATTATAATATTCTTAAAGTATATTTTAATGTATTTAAATGAGTAGTTAATGTCTCACAAATCTTTACATTATTTTCTTTGTTTCCCCTCCCAAACAAACATATTTAAGGGGGGAGGTATGTGGCATTCACCCTTATTATGAAGTAGTCATGCATATTCATGTTCCAGGCTAATGTTGCTAAGAGGCAGAGCCAAGAGATATGCAATAAAGAGGCGAAGTCAGAGAGAGTGGGAGTCAGTCAGAGAGATCAGAGTGGAAAAATAGAGTGGGAGATATGAAGTGTGTTTAGAGTGAAGAGTGAATAAGAGCTGTATAACAAATAGAAGGTTGTGATTGATGATCAGTAAACCTGTAAAAGTTACCTATGATTAATAATCAAACATCTGTAATAAACAAACAAGATTTATTTAAAAGACAGTAAAGTTTGGACCTGCATCTTCATCCTTCCATAAGTAATGCTGATTTAGTGATCAACTGGTGGCAGCGGGTAAAAAAGGAGTACAGTATTTGTTTGCCTTTGTGTGCTCTGGGTTTGGAGAGTCAGGCAGGGGACACGAGGGGCGAACGCCACAAGTATAAAAATATATTTTGAAATATGAACTGGATACAAGATTTATACAGAGTTGCATTGGTCTCTTTGGGTTAGAGCAATGTACTCCACTGATAGAGCAGTCTTTCTCAAATGTGCACGTCCCAGCTTGGCACTGGAGCGTTTGGGGACTTTCCAGACCAAAATATGGAATGCGTAAAAGAAGGAAGGCAAGGGGAATAGTCCTGTGTTTCAGTTAGCAGTCCATTTGCAAGATGTTGGGCACTCAACACAACATCATTTATCTTTTTCTGAACAACAATTCTCCATGCCACATGGCAAACTATTTTCAATATCAATATTACAATATGGAATCAGGTGACCTTTTTGAAAGTTAAAAAATGGCACTGGATGACCCAGAATCTTTGGACTGAAGTTCTTTGGACCTCACTTTTCATTTCAATAATCATTTACAATGCAACAGTATCTGTCAGCAAGTATGATTTTCAAAGCTACTACTAAAGTATATACTGTACCTGTTATATAAGTAAGGGCATCCCAGGGTACCTTCCCCTCTTGACAATAAAGATTGAGGTTCAGCAAGGCACATTCTCTGTCACTGTCATTAAATTCATAACATATGTTCCAACCAAGTGGTCCGAATTTTTTCCTCTCCTTGAGTAGTAAAAGAGAAGAAATTATATTAACTTCGGTGTTCCTTTAAGCAATTTCACAAAGTAAAGAAATACACAGAAATTGCAATGATTTTGGGAGTTTCTTCACAATTTTCTACTGAACTCCATTTTGTGAATTATTTCACTGATACTGAAACGCTTTTCTTACATAGATCAGTTTGTAAGGCAGTACACAGCTCTGTTCTAAGAAACTGGCTAAGAGAGATCTATGCTTTTCTGAAGAAAAGCCTTTGTGAAATCAGTTCTACACAGCGGATCTTTCCTAACCTGGGCACTCTTGGTAGGATTTAACAGTGGGCTTCTGTTGCTGGAAAGGTAGAATCCAGAAGAAAGGAGGAGGTCACTTTGTCACATGCGCATACTATAGCCCCTTGTGCCACCTACATGTACGTACAGATCCCAGCAGTGCATAGGTTAAGAAATTAAAGCCATGTGAATAAAGCAGTCCTCTTGAGGCTATCCTTGACTGGTTTGGGGATGGGCTCCACTCCTGACAATTCCTCTAGTTAGAGAATGATGATGCTGTACCATCAAGTTGCTTCTGGCTTGTGGCAACTCTTTTCAAGGTTTTCTAGATATAGAATACTCAGAAGTGGTTTACTATTCCTTTCTTCTGGGGGCAGGCAGGTTCTGTGCAGTTTGCCCAAGGCTTCAGAGATTGGCCCTTTTCCTGGGACACACACTATGGAACTGTACTCTCAACCTCTGGTTCTGCAGCCAAATACCTAACTGCCTGAGCTACCCAGCCTGCTAGTAAAAGCAGCAGTAGCATGGGCTATCCTGAAACAGCAGCTGAAGTCTAAAAGATCTAGACAATGTGGTTTCTATCCAATTGTTGCAGGGTTCTCTGATGTCTCACTCACAATGTCAGGATTGGGGAGGAAAGCATACCTTTCTAACTTTGCTCAAGGGGAATAAAGGATGTTTGCCAGTTTGTGGACAGACTTCAGTTTACATGGATAGTCCAAGTTTGAAAAC